AGTAGCCGGAATTACAGGCGTGCACTACCACGCCCGGCTGATTTTGTGATTTATTGTAGAGATGAGGTCTCGCTGCCCAGGCGGGTCTCCAACCTGCTGGCTCAGGCCATCCACTCACCTCAGCCTCCCAAAACTGCGGGATTACAGGCTGAGCCACCGAGCCCGGCAATAATTATGCTTTTGTAAGAATGGGTGTTTTTTGGATGAGCAGGCATATTGAAGTAGTTTTAGCCAGAGTATTTGAGTCTTATAACGCAAGTTTTTCCCCTGTTTTCCCATAGGCTGGGTATTGTTAGAGGTTATATTATTTTTTTGGATGTTGCCTATATGTTGACATTGATTGGGTTATCTGGTTAGTTTATTTGTATTTTTTCTTTTTTCTTTTTTGAGTTGGAGTCTCACTTTGTCACCCAGACTGGAGTGCAGTGGCCGCTCCTGGCTACCGCAGCCTCGACCTGCTGGGCTCCTTCCGCCTCAGCCTTCCAAGTAGCTGGAACTATAGGCGCGCGCTACCACGCCTGGCTAATTTTTGATTTATTGTAGAGATGAGGTCTCACCAAGTTGCCTAGGCGGGTCTTGAACCCGCACCTCAAGCAATCCACTCACCTCAGCCTCCCAAAGGCGCGGGATTACAGGCTGAGCCACCAAGCCCGGCTCATGGGGGTGGCTCTCTTAACATGCACACTCTAGGACACACCCCCAGAAATTCAGATCTGGTAGGTCTGGAGTGGGCCCAGAAATCTGCATTGTCAACAAGTGCCCAGCTGACCGATGGAAGCCATCCCAGGGCTTTTCTTTGAGAAGTGCTGGCTGAGATGACACCCTGGACTCTACAGAACCAGCTAGATAAACATCTCCCTCAAAAGGCTGTGGGAGGCCAATCAGGGTGTCTCATGCTGATAATCCCAGTGCTTTGGGAGGCCGAGGAAGGAGGATGGCTTGAGGCAAGGAGTTTGCGATCAGCCTGGACAACATAGCAAGACTCTGTCGCTACAAAAAAATTTAAAAATTAGCTGGGCATGGTGGCGCACTTGTAGTCCCAGCTACTCAGGAGGCTGAGGCGGGAAGATAACTTGAACCCAGGATTTCAAGTTTTCAGTGTGCTTCATAATTGTAACACTGCACTCCAGCCTAAGTGAAAGTGAGACCCTGTCTTAAAAAAAAAGGAGGCTTAGGGGAATTGTGTCTGAAAGGGCTTCAAGGAGACCCTCTGAGATTGACAGCCTCCAGCCACAGCCAGAGAGGGAGATGAGTTTCCTCAGGGTGGCAACCCAGGACCAGAAGAGCTGCCTCCACTCCCAACCCTCAGTCCCTACCCTTTCCAGTCACAGGACCCTATCTGTCTTCCCGGCACCCAGAAGCATCTAACTTTGTGGTTGTCCTATTGGGAATACTCGTGCCCATGGTGGTCATACTGCAGGCAGTGGCCAGAAAGTGCATTTACAGAATGAAGAGGAGAAGGTGAGTTCTGGGAAGGGGTGAGGAAGGGCATATGGGGCGAATAAACGGGAGTGGCGAGCTCACGGAGGGTCACTTCGGGACCCATGCCTGTTCCCCACATCCGCTAGGGAGAAAATGGAGAGCCAGAACAAAGATAGGTTGGCCAGCCTGGTAGACACAGGTGAGAGCCAACCCCAGAGCCCAGGACCTTGGTGACCTGGCGTTAAGTCTGCCTTTAACACAAGTTTTCTTGCTGTTCCCTCAGATATTGTTCCGGGCTGTGTCTTCTGAGTTGTTCAGTTTCGAATTGTTCTCAAACAAGAAGATAAAATTATTTATTTTTTTGAGATGTGAATTTCCACATGATTCTGGTGGAGAAATTGGGTCTGTGAGGTGGGTTTTGGGGGAAGAACTATGGAGGAAGACAGGTGTGTGGGGCCCTGGGGTTGGGTTCTGTTCGAAATGTCCAGAGGTCCGAGACCCGCCTGGGTACCTTGGCGAGACCTCATCTCTACCATAAATCAAAAAATTAGCCGGGCGTGGCAAGCGTGCGCCTGTAGATCCAGCTACTCGGAAGGCTGAGGCGGAAGGATCGCCGGAGCCCAGCAGGTCGAGGCTGCGGTGGCCGGGAGCGGCCACTGCACTCCAGTCTGGGCGAAGGAGTGAGACTCCAACTCAAAAAAAAAAAAAAAAAATCCAGAGGGAAGGAGAACCTGGGGGGGAGGTTGTTTCTTGGAGGAAGCCACAAAGGGGTGGCCCAGTCAACCCTGGGGAGGCAGGAGCAGGGAGGGGAATGGAGGGTGAGACACAGCCCCGGACCTGGGCACCCCAAGAATCCTAGTTCTTGGAGAAAGTGACCTCTAAGCTCCCCACCCAGGGCTGAGGTGATTCTGAGAAGTTTTGCATTTCTGGCATTGAGACTAATTGCTGGGTAGAGGCTAAGGATGGGGAACGTGGCTTTCTCCAAAGGGCAAGCCGGGCTGTGACCCTCTGGGAGGCCCCCACCCTCCGAATTCATCCATATCCCCAAAGGACCTAAGGGTTACTATGGGAACCGAGGGTAAGGCCTGGGGCCAGCTTGCTGAGTTCTATCCACGATCCAAGTAGGAGCAACCACTAGCCCCAGCCTGAGGCCAAGGTGCAAACATCCCCCACCCCCAGCACCAGGGCTTCTGCCTCTCATCTGGCAGGTCCTGGCTTTGGGGAGGGGCTGGGACATCCTGCTGGGGTTCTAAGAAGGAAAAGGCAGCCGGGATTGGTGGCATAGCCTGTAATCCCGTGCCTTGGGAGGCTAAGGTGAGTGGATTGCCTGAGCCCGTGGGTTCAAGACCCGGCCGGGCAACTTGGGGAGACCTCATCTCTACAATAAATCAAAAAATCAGCCGGGCGTGGTAGCGCGTGCCGGTAATTCCGGCTACTTGGAAGACTGAGGCAGAAGGATCGCTGGAGCCCAGCAGGTTGAGGCTGCGGTGGCCGGGAGCGGCCACTGCACTCCAGTCTGGGCGAAGATGAGACTCCAACTCAAAAAAAAAAAACGAGCAATGTTGAAAACAGGAAAACAGGAAAGTGGCTGGGCTTGGTGGCTCAGCCTGTAATCCCACACTTTGAGAGGCCGAGGTGAGTGGATTGCCTGGGCCCGTGGGTTCAAGACCCACCTGGGCAACTTGGCGAGACCTCTTCTCTACAGTCAATCAAAAAATTAGCCTGGCATGGTAGCACGCGCCTGTAGCTCCAGCTACTTAGAAGGCTGAGGCGGAAGGATCGCCGGAAGCCAGCAGGTCGAGGCCGCGCGAGAGTGGCCACTGCACTCCAGTCTGGGTGACAGAGTGAGACTCCAACTCAAAAAAAAAAAAAGAAGGAAAAGGCGGTGGTGGACAACGGGCAGGGGGGGAATGGGTCAAGAAGTAGGACCCCAAGAGAAAGGGCACTTGGATTTGGGGATATCGACGAAGCCAAGATACTGGGTTCTGCAAGGTTTTATTAATTTGTGCTCTGAGATGACCAACCCCAAAGTTGTAAGTGCAGCCCCACCTGGGGGAGGAAAGGGCCCTAGGAAGGGTGCCCCTGGCCAGGCCACTCTGCCCAGCGAGGCTTTCCCTTCCTTCAGCTGGGGGAGTCACTCACACCCGGGGAGCCGGGCGTGGCAGGAAGGCTCAGCCGCCCCAGGAGCTGGGCCTGACGCCCCAGGAGCTGGGCCTGACGCCCCAGGAACTGGGCCTGACGTCACAGCTCCACGCCTGCTCTGACCTAGCTCCCCTCACTGGTCTTTACCCTGTGCCTCTCTATTCTGTGTCCGCCCCGTCCCCTTGACCTCCATTCCCCCGCTCACCAGCTCTCTGGGCACACAGGCAGAGGAAGGGGGAATGCCTGGGCTGTGCCCTCCTGATGGCTCCCCACCCACTCCCTTGGTAGGGTCCCGTCTCTCCCACCTCCTCTGGAGGGCACAAAACACAGGCAACATGTCACAAGGCAGAGAGGGGACAGAGGACTCGAGAGAGCACTAGGGACTCCGGAAGAGGGCTACAGTGGCAGGAAATCAGGGGGAAGAATCACTGCCCAAGGCTCCTTGGGCGGGGAGGGGCCTCAGCTGTGATTTGGGGTCCAGTGCGAAAGGCTGCTCCGTTCAACCAGGCGGGACCCTGTCCCTGAGGGAGGGCAGACATTGGAAGAGGAGGAAACTGAGATCTCCTTGGGCAAGAAAGAAAACGGGGCGGTTTGAGTGGGGGGTTGACCCCGTCCCTTCTTCCTGCTTGGGAGAAGACAGGCAGGAGGTTCCTCCTCCCCTTCCCAAGCGGCTGGGAGAACCTGCCCGGGCAGCATCTTGAATGGGGGAATTGTCCTCAGCCTAGCCATCCGTGTGCGCGTGTGCGCGCGCA